TTTATCTTCTGCACCATTCCACGACCTTTACTTCCCAGCCCTTCCAGAGTTTTCCATTTCTATAATATTTTTTAATTTCCACAAGCTCTATTTTGTTCTCTCAACCCCTCTTTCAACAGCATCCTGGGCTTATTCCATAGGTGCAATATCATTTATTTTTTCTCCTTGGATCATCTTAATGATAGGCTCTTGTATCAATATTGCCTTTTCTTCCTACATGGTCTCAAGTTCCTCTAAGTTGCTTTTTTCTGGGTGTTCATTTTGGTGTCTACCTCTCATGATAAAGACTTTCCTCAGACGTCTAGAAATCGTTGGCTACCTTATCCCCATGAGACGAAAAAGCTGAACGAAAGCTCTGAATGCAAGGGCGGATCTTAACAGTGAGCCGAGTGCAGGACCTTCTACTTGGATGGCCCGGTGTGCAAATCTGGTGTTCAGTGCCTTTAAATCCTTCCTTGGGGGCTGGTCAGGTTCTACAGAGAGACATCAATCTCCTGCCTGCGATGTGAAGCTCCAACTGCCCAAATTTCCAGAACAGGCAGAAGGAAAGCACGGTCTTGGCTCCAGTGTGCACATGGTCACTGAACCCTCTTGCTTTTGTTATTTTTTTTTTTTAATTCTTTTGAGAGAGAGAGAGAGAGAGAGAGAGAGAGAGAATCTTAAGTAGGCTCTATGCTCAGCCTGACATGGAGCTCAGTCCCATGACCCTGGGATCATGACCTGAGCCAAAATCAAGAGTCAGATGCTCAACCAACTGAGCCACCCAGATGCCCCCATTGGCTTTGAGTACAGTGTTCTTGCTTCATCTCTGTCTAGCATGCCCCAGACCATAGATCCTCCATTTTACTTCCTCCAAACTCCACATCTTTTGTGCAAGGTGGGAAAAATGTTCTTGACATCCAACTATTAATTTTCCAAACCTTCTTTAAGTCCCCTTCTTCACCTCTACTTCCGTAGGAACCTGATATTCCCGATTTCCTGGCCTTTTGCAGACTTACTGCAGAGTAAATCAAGGGGGCTCTCAGCTTTCCTCACTACCAGTTTATATTTCCATGTTCTTGAATCTGCTAAGCCATCTACCATCTGTCCTTAGGCTTCCCAGCTTCCAAAATGTTGTTGCTATTGAGTCCTTCTGTTTTGCTTGACTTCGTGGGTTTCTGTCTTTTTTATTTAATCCCTTTAAATGTCACGCTAATGGAGTTTTGATAGAGATCCAAGATAAATGTATGTGTTCCATCTGTCATCCTCACTCCAGAATCACATCTCCCAGGAATTTCAAATTTCAGCTGAGATGGCAGAGATTGGGATTTTCAGAAGCTTTAGCCTATTAATTCTGTTCTTTATTTTTATATGACATTTGATTCCATTAACAATTTCTTCCTGAAGCTCCACCTCAGTTGCATATCAAGGCCCATGCAATTAGGGCAGTGGGCACCACAGGTAATCGAGGAGACTATCCCTAATTTAGAACAATACAACAGACCAAAAGTCTGCTTTTTATTATCAACATGTGCCAGGAACAAAACAAAGTCAGTGATAAAACACTCCTTTCTGAAAAATATTTTGTTGATCTAAGTTCTAAGCAATTTCTGTATTTACTGTTGACTTTTAATAATACATGTGTAGGCTTCAGGATAGCACCTTTCTATTTCTTATCCTTTAACTAACAAGGAAGTTAATTCAGGGGCACCTCGGTGGCTCAGTCAGTTATGTGTCCAACTTCAACTCAGGTCATAATCTCATGGTTCGTGGGTTTGAGCCCTGCATTGGTCTCTGTGCTGACAGCTCAGAGCCTGGAGCCTGCTTCAAATTCTGTGTCTCCCTCTCTCTCTGCCCCTCACTCACTCACACTCTATTTCTCTCTCAAAAATAAATAAACATTAAAAAAAAATTTTTTTTAATGAAGTGAATTCACAGAACAGAGAAGGAGAATAGAGTTGGGTTGTGACATCTATGCATGTAGCTAGTTAGTTCAGTTCTGCCATTTACCATCATTCTCTACATCTTGCAGAATTCTTTTGAAAACACTTGTGGAAACATTTCTTCATGTTTATTCTTCCTCGCTCAACCTCCGCCCCTCCCCCCCAATACATTAAGGTAATTAAAAGGTACTGATCTGTTACTATTTTCTTATTTCGTATTGTAACATTTACTTCTATTTGTACAATTATTTTACTGGCCTGGTTATATGAGCAAAGTTCGATCAAAGAAAACGTTCACTGTCTGCTTTTCTTTCCAGACCATTATTATTAGCTGTGTTTTAAAAACTACTGGCTCCAAGTGTTAAATTAGGTATGTCACTGCATGTCACTTATTTTCCACCAGGACCAAGTGGCCATTCTATGTCACCCTTATATGATGGAGACAGCCCTTTGTCAGAGTTCCTTTTCCTAGCCATTTCCAAATGCAGACCTTTCCTAGGGCTTGGCCTGAGCTCTCTTCTCATCTCTTCGTAACCTCTTTTCCCTTCTGATTTAATCCATTCCCATGGTTTTAAATACAATCATAATGCTGCTCTTTTAACTGACATCTCTAACCCAGATTCTCTCTTGAGTTAAAGATCCACGTCCAACTGTCTAATGGACCTCTAGGTTTTAAGGTCTTCCCCAAATCCAACTTCACTTAATATAACTAAAGCCAAACTCTTGATTTCCAAATCCTGCCTCACTTCCCCCATCACTGTCTTTATTATCTCAATAAAAGGCACTATCATCTACTGAGCTGTTCAAGCCATTCTTGATTTTCCCCCCAATCTTTGACCAGAATATCCAAAATCTGTAAATCCAGATCATGTAAGCCCTAAACTATGTCTTGAGTAACATCCGCTTTCTCTCCAAACCCACTGCCACTAACTAATACAGACCAGCTTCACCCCTCACCTGGACCAATGCAACCGGCTTCCTAACTGGTCTCCTTACTTACACTTCTGGCTTCTCCAAACCATTCCCTCAACGAGCAGCCAGAGTGATCTTAACATACTTAGAAATTTGAAAAATTCCCAGGGTAGTCCTTGGCCTGTGAGTAAGAGTTATCATGGCTGGGAAGGCCAGATGGACACCTCTACAATTGTACCTGAGTACATAAAAACAATCACAAACTGGGATTGGGGGTGGTATGGTGGGTGTTAGTGTCACCCTTAGGGATATCAAGGATGCAGAAGGGGTGGTTCCTATCGAGTCTCCATTTAATTCATGGGTCTGGCTCCTGAAAACTCTAGATGGTTCTCAGAAAATGACCGGCAACACTGCGAGCTCAACCAAGTAGCAGCCCTGATTGCTGCTGCCATGCAAGTGTGATATCCTTGCTAGAGCAGATCAGAGTGGCCTTAGATACATACAGGGTGGTCAGTGATTGGGCCAAATGCATTATTTTCTACCTTAATCGAGAAAAAGAATCAGGAAGTTCACATTTACAGAGCATAGATAATAATATACACTCATGGGGCGCCTGGGTGGCTTAGTCGGTTGGGCGTCCAACTTTCGCTTGGGTCATGATCTCACAGTGGTGGGTTCGGGCCCCACGTCGGGCTCTGTGCTGGCTGCCAGCTCAGAGTCTGGAGCCTATTTTTTAGAGTCTGTGTCTCCCTCTCTCTCTGGCCCTCCACTGCTCACGCTGTCTCTCTCTCTCTCCTAGAGATAAATAAAATAAAAATATTAAAAAAATAATAATAATATATACTCATAATCCTCACACTTACAGGATCATGTTAATTCTTCTAATCACTGTCAAAATATAGTCTGAATAGACCAGGACCATCTAGATATCCCACAGACCATCACATGGATCCATTACATCAAGATTGGCATGTGAGTCAAATATGACCCCCCTGTTTTTGTAGGGCTCACAAGCAAAGAATGATTTTTCCACTTTTTAATGGTTAAGAAAAAGATTCAATGAATAGGCAGAGCACAAAGGATTTTTAGGGCAATGAAACTACTCTGTATGATCTTATAATAGTAGATACAGGTCACTAAATATTTGTCAATATCCATAGAACACCAAGAGTGAGTTATAACATAAACTATGAACGTTGAGTAATAATGTATCAATGCAGGGTCATCATTTGTAACAAATGTGCCACTCTGGCGGGAGATGTTGATAGTCGGACAGGCTGTGCGGGTGTGGAGGCAGAAGATATATGGGACATCCCTCTACTTTCCATTCAATTTTGCTGTGAACCTAAAACTTCCCTTAAAAAGTGAAGCTTATTAACTCAGAAAAACAAGATCAAAACATGAAGAATGTTTTGTGACACGTACACATTATATGACATTCAAATTTCAGTGTCCATAAATAAAGTTTTGTTGGAACACAGCCACACCACTCCGGGCCCTTTGTGTCCAACGGCGGGCAGACAAGAAGTCACCATCTTGGTAGGGTAGCTGACCCTGACCAGCAGGACAACGTAGAAGCCTGTACACAGCGAAGGTGCTCAGGAATTCAGAAGATCGTGCAGTGCCTCTCGGGACCCCATGTGACAGCCCACTGTGTCTGTGAATGGACAGCGGCAACAACCCCGGCCTGCGAAGGTTGTGATTATCAGTCTCAGCCCCTGTAGGAACGAGGGTTTGTGTCACACAACCAGATAAGCCACTGAGACCAGCAGAAGTGACGGCTGAGGTCCATTCCAGAAATGCACGTGGAAGGCAGGCAGGTTGGGATGGAAGGAGGAAAAAAAAGGCCTCTAAGGGCAGGTCACGGATGGCCTGCGTCTTCAGTGTATTGCTGACAGTGCATGGCTCTCAGTAAAAGTGCTGAAAGGGGCCTATTATTTCCGTCTTTGACTTTACAAGGGTAATGAATGTTTTAGTATCCCATACTTCGCTTGAACCTTCTGAAAGAAACTTCCTATCTCCTAGAGAAACAAGTCCCGCTCACACGTGGAGCCAGCGCCCGCTCCTCGCAGGACCTCTGGCCGCGGCGGCCGCCGTGTCCCCCGCCCTGCGTCGCCATCACCCCCGGCGCTCAGCTGCGGACCCACCCAGACCCCCCCGGCTCACCGCCTCCGGGCTTCCAGGCGCGCCGCGATGCGGAGGCGCCGGGCCTGGATCCGCTCCTGAGGGTTGTCAGAGTGTATGGACGGCCCGAGAATCGGGGTGGACAAGTGTTCCTCCTCCTTCTCCTCCAGAATCCCCAGGGACCCCGGCGGATTCATGGCAGGTGCCTCCCGCCGCAGGCAGCTCGGCAAGGACCACCGCCGGACCACCGCCCGGTTGCTAGCAACAAGCCGTTGCCAGGGAGCAGTCACCTGACCCGCAGCGGGGGTGCGCGCGCAGGGCTCCTCAGGCTCCGCCCACTCTGCCAGTTGGTGGTTTATATTCTGGAGAGAGAACGCGACGGAAGCTCTACCTTTGGCGGGTGAGAATACAACCGTTTCATCCAGCCCTGTCCGAACAGCGCCTAGCATAATACCTAATGTGCAGTAAGTGCTCAACCAATGTTTGCTGAATGAAAGGTACACAGATGTTATCTGTATGCTCGCTACAATTGTACTTAAAAACTGGCATGACCCCAAAGTCCATCAGTAGAGGAACTGATCAAGCTTTCGTGGGATGGAAAACAGTGCAGCCACTAAGAATGAAGCTGACTTAGAAAGACATAAAGCTATATTACATGAGGAAGAGAAGGTGCAACATAGTACATGGAATGTGATCTAAGTTTTACTTGAAATATATAAATATATATACATAGCACCGACACATATACATAGCATTTGTATATATATGTATATGTATATACATATACATAGCACTGACACAAGAAAAATAAACACGAAGCAGGGCCAATATCAAAGCAGTTACTACCTGTGTTCTCTTCTAGGATCTTTAAGGTTTCAGTTCTCACATTTAGGTCTTTAGTCCATTTTTAATTTATTTTTGTGTGTGGTGCAAGAAAGTGGTCCAGGTACCTACTTTTGCATGTTGCTGTCCAATTTTCCAACACCATTTGTTGAAGAGGTTTCTTTTTCCCACGGGGTATTCTTTACTGCTTTGTAGATTAATTGACCATATAGTTCTGGATTCATTTATGGGTTTTCTATTCTGTTTGATTGAGCTATTTATTTTTGTGCCAGTACCATACTGTTTTGATTATTACAGCTTTGTAATATAATTTGAAGTCCAGAAATGTGATGCCTCCAGCTTTGCTTTTCTTTTTCAAGGTTGCTTGGGCTATTCAGGGCCTTTTGCGGTTCCATACAAAATTTAGGATTGTTTGTTCTAGCTCTGTGAAAAATGCTGTTGGTATTTTGATAGGGGTTGCATTAAATGTGTAGATTGCTTTGGGTAGTAGAGACATTTTAACAATATTTGTTCTTCCAATCCATGAGCATGGATGTCTTTCTTTGTGTTATAGTTTTCAGAGTACAGGTCTTTCTCCTCTTTGGTTTATTCCTAGGTAACTTATTGGTTTTGGTGCAATTGTAAAAGGGATTGATTCCAATATTTTTCTTTCTGCTGCATCATTACTGGTGTATAGAAATGCAACCGATTTCTATACATTGATTTTGCATCCTATGTGTCGTATGCAAGTGTTGAATCACTATATTGAACATCTGAAACAAATATTACACTGTATATTAGCCGACTGGAATTTAAATTTAAAAATTTTTTAAAAGAGATACATGCACCCCAATGTTTATAACATTTTCTACAATAGCCAAATTATGGAAACAGCCCAAGTGTCCATCAACTGATGAATGGAAAAAGATGATGTGGTGTGTAGACAATGGATTATTACTCAGCCATAAAAAATAATGAAATCTTGCCACTTGCAACAATATGGATAGAGCTACAGTATTATGTTAAGCAAAATAAGTCAGACAAACACTGTATCATTTCACTCACATGTGGAATTTAAGAAACAAAACAAACAAGCAAAGGCAGTTGGGGGAGGAGGGTAGGGAAGAGAGAGGCAAACCAAGAAACAGTCTCTTAACTATACAGAGGACAAACAGATGCTTACCAGAAGGGAGGTGTGTGTGTGGGGGAGGGGGTTAACAGGTGACCGGGATTAAGGACTGTATTTTTTGCAATGAGTACCAGGCATTATATGCAAGTGTGGAATCACTGTATTCATAGAATCACATGTACACTGCATGTTAACTGGAATTCAAATAAAAATGTAGGGGGGGGAGAAAGAATTAAAATGTAGAAATTTGCCCAAATTTATAGTGCTTTAATAAAGCCTTCGATTTGGCAAAAAAAAGAAAAAAGAAAAGAAAAGAAAAGAAAAGAAAAGAAAAGAAAAGAAAAGAAAAGAAAAGAAAAGAAAAAAGAAAAAAGAAAAGAAAAAGAACACAAAGTGGTGGATATCTCTGGGTGTTGGGTCCACGAGTGGTTTTAATTTTCTATTCTAAAAAAAAAAAGTTTACAAATAACACAAATCACTTTTGACATCCTAAAAGAAAATGAAGTTTATTTATTTCTTTTTAAGCATCGTAACAAGAAGTCCCGAAGAGACTGCGGCAAGCCAATGTGACGGGTGAGAGGGATTTGGGGGAGATCGTAGGTGCCGTCTGCCATGATGACTCACGAGCATCCCGAGTCTGTCCACTCTGGTGGGCAACGCTCCAAAAGCAGAGTTGAAATGAGAATTGACTTCCATTAATAAGCTCATGAAAGAAAGAGAGGATACCCTAATTTGAGCAGGAAACACAACTGACGCCCAAAGCTTATTATTTCTGACTTGTGACCAGCATATGCCTGTGGCCGATCTACAAGGGAATCCAAGTATAACTGGCAAGTTTCTCGATGCTGTGCGACTGGCTCTAATGAACTCAGGGGCCCACAGTGGGTATAACTTGCCACAAAGACTAGGTAGGTGAAGTCCTTTGACCCCCATCCCTGGGTAAGTTTGGGGTGATACGTGCAAACCCTTCTGGCTACATGGACTTCCTTTGCTAGGCTACAGACTGGCCACCTACCTTCAATGTACAATCTTTTTCCAGAAAAATGATACACTGACTAGATTTTAGTATACTAAGTCAAGTCACATACTTATCTCCACATCCAGAAGATTACACCAAATCGCCTTAATTGGGGTTTGGGGATTCATCAGACATTTCCATAATTTCTTGGCTTATGCTTGTCTCCTGATTTGTGTGAATTTTACTAAGAGATTCTCAGAAGGCAATCTTATTTTATTCATGTCAAGTTATTTTTAGAACTGCCTCACCATCATCATGTAGTGACAACAAAAGGTACAAAGGATGGTACAGAGAAGGAAAGAGAAGTCATTGAGTAGAGCATAAGGCTTAGGGAAAAGTTCAAAGGCCAAAATAAATAAATAAAGACGTAGGTGTTAGTAGAAACTGAGCACATACCTTAGACCACCCACTGTGCTGACTAGCTCCAAGCATCATTCACAACACACATGCATGAGCACAGTCATGTTACCAATCCCATTTTACAAGGGAAGAATTGGAGGCTTAGAATAAATAAGTAACTTGCCCTGGGTCAAAGCTTGCCAAGCTGAACATGACTAAGAAACAGTCATGGCATTCGAAGTTCAGGAGGTCTGGAGAGACTTTCGGAATGAAAGCAAAAAGGAAAGTGGGAGGAGCAGATACCAAGTTTTCCTCCAGGAAATCTGTGGGCACGGAGATAAGATGCAAAGCAGGAAGAAGAGTAAGACACGTTGGAGGCCCAGGGTCCGAGCTACTTACCCAGTACGTGCCTGCTAAGTGTCAGGTACCCGCTAGGTGTTCGAGGTCTGCAGACAGAAGGGCAGGGAGAACTGAGGGGGCAACCGAGAGGCTGGGTGGGGCAGGGGATTCAAAGCACCGCTGGAGAGGCAGCCCCGGGGTAAAATACGGGGTACTTTCCCCTCACCCTCTTCAAACCCCATTACAGAAAAAAACATTCCAATGTCTGCTGCCAGAGCTGGGAACCAATTCTGATGTAGAAGATAGGAGATATTCTCAGAAGGAATGTTAGAAAACAGGAGTTTTTAAAATAAAAGCTTATGGTTTATAAGCTGAACTAAAGTTGAGGCGTACCGAGTGTGTCATTAGACTCTAGTGGAATTAGCCTGGGAAACTGACTCCGTACATTTTCTGTAAGAAAATGTGCCTAAGTAGAAGGCCTTACTAACTGAAGCATGACCCACCCAGTCATCGTCATATACTGCCCAGCACCCGGTTCCGGGGAAGTCAAGGGCAGGACACTATGAATAGCTGTTACCGCCACCTGCCTGGTACTCGGCTTTCTGAATCAAGTCCCAGGGCTGTAGAACTGATCATTCTTTAACAGCACAAAACAAACGACCTTGTACGGTGCTGCTCTAAAATAACCAATGATTCTGGGGCAAGTGGCCAGACAGTACTCATCTCCCTCAGAGCACCCTCCCCTCTTGCATCTACCAAGGAAAAATAAAGACAATCTGAAGACAGTCACAAGGATTTAAAAATTATTTACTCTTTTCTTTTTATTACAATAAATATTTATCAATAATAGAAGGAAACAATTTTAAATTAAAACCTACTGCATTCCTCTTGGGGTTCATAGCAGCAGAAATTAACAGAAATCCAGTTCGGAAGGCAAGGCTTACAGTCCAGTGGCAAGTGGATAATCAAGCAAGTCAGTGCTTGATTATCGGGGCCAGCAACGGGGAACGGTAATACATACTAACGATGCAAAAGGAACAGTGAAATGCACAGTTGTGACCTGTTTGTGGATCACGTTACCTAAGGCTTTGCAACACTCAGCTAGGGAACTTCTAAGCAAGTTGTGAAGCCCCATTTCTACAAGAGCTAGATCTTTGCCCCCATCAAGTTCTGGGGCACAACTGCTCCAGGGCTGCCTTCTGGCCAGGAATGGGCCCCATCGCCACTCAGAGCCAGAAGTCTCAAACCTGCCGGAAGCAGCTCTCTTTCTCCAAACCTGTCTTTCTGTCTCACAATCCCTGATGAAAGGGAAACAGAAAGTGATATATTTCACAAGAGCCCTCCTTGGGGGTTGAGATGAACTGCAAGTAGGAAAGACGGTGGCTCTAGAGGCTTAAGAGGCTTCAGAGTTACAGGTTATGTGCTGATTAGGTCAACAGGAAGAACAGAGCTAACATGAGTGTACCATTTTGCAGATAATCAAAAGTGCACTGCATGTATAGATGAATATATCATACACAGATATGCAGAAAATATACTTGTACATATTAAATATGTATATGCACACACACCACACATAACCAGATAAAAATGCCACATTATTTACCATGTACACAGCGAGCTCTAGACAAACCAATTATGAAGATGCTCAACTAAAGAGAAATGAAAGACTGTGTGCTCCCCTTGACCTTACTAATATATCCTGCTTGTTGCACACACATTCCAGTTGTGTGAGTGGTGGTGTTAATGGGTACCTGAAAAGGGGTGGGGCCACCCTGGTCTACAGAAAGCACACTGCAAAGGGGCCACGGG